AAAAACAAGATTAGCTCATAGACATTATCATCTTCTTCCGCCATGAATTCGCAACTTGAGAATATGCTTTAACTTCAAGATATAATGACTTGCCTTCCTTTGACTTGAATAAGTAGTTGTATAATATATAACACTCCTTTTGCTCCTTTTTGCATTCTTTTGATGATTAAAGCTGTTAAGACCTTAAAATCTACATATACGAGAAAACTACCTCTTCTGGTTGAAAATATTTATTAAAACATATAGAAAACATAGTAAAATAAATAGTAAATGTGGTAAAATATGAGACATATCAAAGGCCCTAGTGGTTCCTACTCCCGATGCTCGCCAGGAGAAGTACGCGAGCTGCGATAAGGAGAAGATGGTTGTTATGGAATCTTCTGGTAGCAAACATCCAGCCCAGGACAAGGGAAAGGGCATAGCTGACGCACAGATCCTGAAGAGGTAGTGGATAACCCCTCCTCTCCCCCCTCCTTCCGACATTATTTTGCAGTCTTTGACGCCCAGAGTGTTCTACGATAATGTTGCGACCGCGGCTACCCTTTTTGCAGGTATCACCATGCCTTCCGAGCATCTCCCTACTCCAAACCTTGAGTAGGAGCAAGTCCTACGTGGACATGTCTCTTCGTGGAGCAAAGGTAACTCTACGATCTGTCAGATATTTGCAGCTATGCTTTTTGAAAGACTAATTTTGACCTAGGTTTTGTGTTGTTTTTTGCAGTTCTTCTTCTACTTGAACTGCATGGTGCTCGGATATGAGGCGGATGCTCATAGAGACATGTCTCGTCTCGAAGATGCTTGTGAAGAGTCTAAGGCATTTGAGAAAAATTTGAGAGAGGGAGAGAAAGTGTCTCGCAGAGTGCGAAAGAACGACCAACACGGTTAGAGAGCTTGAGTCCAAGGTTCAGCTTCTTGAGAAGAAATGCGAGGAAGCGAGGAGGCAAAACATAGTGCTCAAAGCCGGTAATGCGAAGCGTGATGCGTAGAGTGCTGAGCAGCAAAAGGTGATTATTACCGCTATTGAGCTCGAGTCGCAAGTATCTGTTGCCGTGATTGATGCCAAGCATGAGTTGATAAGAGATTTCAAGGATCAGATGTCTCAAGCCAAGGATAAGCTCGTACTACTTATTGATAATTCGGTTGGTGACGTGGCCCATCTTGTCCAAGTAGATGGGAACATTGAGCTTGTCGAAATACTCCAGGGCTTGTAGATGGGAAATCCTTTATCTCATAAATTAACACTCTTGTTGTGTAAGAGTAGTAATTGATGTTTTATTTATAATTTGGTTTGGACTAGTCTTTGTAAGATTTCTTATGTTTTGTATGGATTTTCTATGAAATAAAAATATATTTAAATATATTGTTGACTAAATTTAGTTTATATAAAAATATATAATGAGAAACAAGTCAAATTTAATTATAAAAGATATATATATATATATCGCAGCTTATATAATGTGCTACTATTAAATATAATATAGCATTGATCATGAGTTATACACGTATG